CCTTCCCCCAATTCCCCAGCGCTGTTCCCATCCCCCAATTCCCCAATAAAAATCTTAAAAAAAAAAAAGAATTATGTGTATAATATAATCCCATGTTTGTTTAACACAAAATAAACATATGTAAATATACAAGTAAAGGAAGGGCATAGAAAGATATACAATACTCTGTTAATAGTGATTACAATAGGGCGGTGGGGAGGAGGGCCCACTAATTCTACTTTAGACATTTGTATATTGTTTGGATTGTTACAGTATGTGCGTATTGCTTTTCAACCCAAAAGTATGTATTTTCCATGAAAAAAAAAATTTTTTTAAACAGTGTGAAGGCATAGAGTTATGTCGAGGTTCAAGCCTTGGTTTTACACTCTGCTTGCTATATATTCTTGAGCATTATCATCTCCATGCTTCAACTTCATCATCTATAAAACAGATAATAAAACACAAGGCAGATGGAAAATTAAATGAGACAACATACATGAATATTTAATCTAAGTCATAAAAAGTGGTAAATTCTCAATGTGTTAGCTTTGCTTCCTATTATTATTAATATCATACAGTAGGAATTGGAAGGCTGCTAGAAAAGAAATTTTAAAGCTACTTAACTTCCTCCAACTTTGACACATTTCATTTCTCAGAATGCATATTGGAGAGAAAGCTTCCTCTCCGTTCCTGATGTTTCCTCCATGTCGCTAGAACACATTAATGTAACACTTTTAATCTCTCTGTTCCTTCGCTCAACTCCATCCAAGGGGGAGTACTATAAAACGCTTCATCTAGCTGGTATTTGAGAAAAACAGACTGGGTGTGCCTAAGTGCTCAGCTCCTCCCCCTTTCCCTGGAGCACAAGCCCGCCCACAGAGTCGTCCTCTCATGTCCCCTTGTGACTCTTACTCCACTTGGAGAGCGCAGCTGTATCGGGGTGCTAGGATTCCCTAACGTGCGCATTCAATATAAGGCAGCCTAGGTGCCCACAGATGTAAGCCATGTCCTCCGCTCTGGCTCTCATTACATACACATATGGTATTTTTTGTCCCACATGCCTTGCTCTGTCTTAGTTCTCATTAGGTTCTGAAACCTTTCTCCTAAAGGTAGGGTGAGGGAAGGTGCTATTTATGGGGGCCCTCTCAAATACCTTAACATGTGCTTTGCATCACAACTGTCAGTCAATTCCTGGAGGACTCAGTTCCTAGAAGTAGAAAACCACAACTATTTCAGCACCTAGGTTGGAAAGAGGCCATGTGTCATCCTGGTGTTCTATAAACTCAGTGACGCTGTCAGGCCAACTCTGCTTGCCACCACCTGAAATGAGCTATCCTAGTCCCTCTGGGATCCCTTTTAGGACACTACACAAGCACTAAGATTGGTGCTATTTTCTGCTTAATTAACTCTTCGGAAGGGCTAACTGAACTGAACTGATATCTGTCACTTAAATCAAATATCTATTTCATCACATCATAAGGATAAACGCTGATGATTAGAAAACGATCCTATGAAAATAAGTC